TATTTACATTATCACTTATGTTTTCATTTTGCATTTAATGGATTCTTATGAAAGTTTTTTTTTTGTATTTGATTAATATATCCTTATTTATTTACTTGTCCTTTTAACCAGCTGATTCATTTTTTACTTTCATTTATTTATTCATTTTAATTTTGTCATTAAATTTTGTGCACATTACCCAATATTTACCAATTAYCAATCCTCAAATACTCGTAATTTGACTAATATTATGACCAATCRGTTTATTTTACTTTACAGCTCAGTTTGTTTATTTTACTTCTCCTTTCTCTTGGTATTTTCTTTTTTTTTGTTTCTTTGTTATGAAATGTTTCATGGTTGTTTATAATGTTTGTCTTTATTGTGTTGTAAAAAAAARCTCTGCCAGTGGGCAGTGGGGTATTTTGCTAACAGGCACACAAACACAAAGTCAAAAACATTCTTCTCTAACCATTTTCACTTGTTTCTGTGTCACGTATTCATCTAGTTTCCTGCTCATGATGGGAGCAGCTTATTTCCTTGCTAACTATCCTCTGCAGGGAGCTGTGTGCAACACGACCTCTCTGGGTGCTCGTCACGTCCTGTCAGTGTTCCCCAGTGGACTTCACCTCTTCCTGGGGACAATAATGACCACATGTGCCACAACTTCCCCAGAATACAACAAATATGTCCCTGCTGCTGCTGCTGCTGCCTGCGCAGAAAACTCACTGTCCTGCTAGCAGCACCATCGTTASTGAAAACACCTCATTCTGTCAAAACAAGAAAAACGACATCTGCTTTTACAGTTATAGCTTTATTATTTTCTTTTACAAAACATGTGATTCCCTCAAATGTGTCAAAGTATTTCTCATGAAAAGAAAATGTGACCAATAATTTGATTTCAGTTTGACTATTTTCTTAAAACTAAAGCAGACTAACTACAGACAGACAGGGGAGAATAGAGGGAATCAATAAGTCACCTTGGCATGAAAAAAATGATAATCTGGGTCAGGCAAATTGCAGCTGCCATTTCTTCTAATAAACGAGAGAATCTAATGGTTCTAAAAAAATATAAAATTAAAACTGTGCAGCTTCTGCATGAAAACATGGGTCCAACCCCTGCAGGATGAGCACAGGTCAGTGTAACCAGGTAAAACAGGTCTGTTAGATCAAACTGAAGAGGAAAACAAAGAGTTTTAAGTAAACAGACTGAGGTTGGTGTGCTGATTGCCAAGACAACAATGCAACATTTGATTAATCCTATAAAATAAAAATAATAATAAAAAAAGCCTCAACAGTGWTGTGTACCATCTTTCTTCACACTCTCTCCAAATTTCTAAGAAACAACATATTCCAGCAGTCAGTTACACAGTGGTCCCCAAACAACCAAAGGCAATAAACAAAAACAAATAAACAAAGATAAAACATGTGCTTAAAGTCAAGGTCCTGGTATTAAAAGCCTAGTTTGGCTGAGCTGTTGGACCTCAGAGGACATTTAGGAGTACTGCTCATGAACTGAGGCAGGTCACTTTATAACGACACACATTGTGTTTTACTTTAACAACTGAGTTCATTTGGACAGGAGTTTTTGTTTTAGAGGAAGTGTTGAACGGCAATGAACAGTTATTATCTTACCTGTTGCAGATGGCTCTTTATACGGGTTCAGGTTGGAAGAATAAAGATTAATTCTAACCAGCGTGATGAGCTAATGGCTAGTCTGAAACAGTTTATACAAACGCTGTTACAAGCTTTTATATAACCATCCGTTTTGCAAGTTAAATGTAAAAGCAGCAGAGCAGCTAGAGCTGTAGCACTTCCTGCGCAGCTCAAAGCCACTTCCTGCATGAATATTTCTGCTTAAAGAAGCATGTAGTGTTAAAACTGATTGTGAGTTTTATAAAACAGTGTTTGCATTAGGGCTGGGAATCGTGGCCAAGTCTCTAGATCGATTCGATTTCGATTCATAAGGTTCTGATTCGATTCAATTCAATCTGCTCTTAAATATGATATAACATGGTTCAACTGTGTTGCAAAATACAATTTTACTATTTTTTCTCTTCACCATAAACAGGTTTTAAGGACAAACTTTTAATTTAAACAGTTTAATCTTGAAGGAAAACTGTCAAAATTTAAAAGGTTTTAAGTTGAAAGGAACTGCAGGTGACAGTGTTGTTGGAATTCATTTTTAAGAAATGAATAATTGTCTTGATAAAGAAGTGCTTCTTAAAGTTTTAAAAAAATAATATTTGTAACAAAACTAAACGATTTTGTTAGAATGTCGTCTTTAACACATTTAAACAAGCTGTGGAGAACAGTCCAGTCAGATGTTTACATACTGTTTGGTTTGAGTGCCTGACGAGGCGCTCATCAAACTGCTTCGTTTTCTCCATCATGTAGGAGCACAAATCTCAGCAAACCAAAGTCMCCATGGTCTCTGTTGTCTTTAAGTTCTGCTGAGAGTCAGATGGTAACGTTAGTGATTCCTTCGTTTCTTTTGTTTTGATCCAAACATCTTGTTATCGAAAGCTAATGTTAGCACTGAACGTCAACTGGATGTAAATATACGGCAAGCCAGGAGTGACAAAATATGAATCGCGTTTCAGGCGCACACATAAGACACCATGAGGAAGAATTAATCTCATGTCCTGTGAATCGATTTTCCCTAATTTAAATGAAATCAATCCAAGATGGGTTAAATAGATTTTGTTACCCAGCCCTAGTTTGCATGAACTGTTATAGAAATATCAGAGATTAGACTTGTTTAAAGTTACATGTTGTATTACCACTGTTAGTTATTCACTCGTTCTCCAAACTGAGGTTGTTCAAAGAGTGATCTACAACAGGTACAACACTGAYTGTTCAYACACCCTCCATTTAACTTCATGACAAAAGATCTGGACTATCAGTTTATTTTGTTTTGATAAAACAAAGTAGTCACTCTAAAACTGTGAATCCATCCATCCATCCATCCATCCATCCATCCATCCATCCATCCATCCATCCATCCATCCATCCATCCATCCATCCATCCATCCATCCATCCATC